CGCGTTCGGCTGGAGACCCCAGCCCTGCGCGGGTTAATGCAGTTATTTCATACGTATTACCAACAAAGATAACCAGCTTTATTTACCACATTTACGATCTATTAAAAATGCCTTCCTTTCGTCATGACAAAGATGCTTTGATAGGCTCATCGCTACCCTGTCAATTATTGTTCATATTACGGAATATGGACAAGTTCCTACTAGTTTTTAACTACGGGGTCCCGGGTGCTACTGTAAACAGATGTATACTGCATACTGTACATATATGCAGTTGAACACCAACCACCTCACATTGTTCTTAGTAAATTTAAAAAGAGTTTAACCCGCGACCTGGTGGGGGGGTGCTATTTTTTGCCCCCCTCCAGACTTTTCGATATATCTCCAGAACCGCTACGCCGATCGTCACCAAACTTTCAGTACCCTCCCGGACATCAATTTTACACATTGTGACCAAAAATTTTTCTAAAGGCTGTGATAGGTTGGCCGGAAATGACGTCAGAGTGACGTCATGTTCTGCCGTTTTCGACCCAAAAACGGGTTTTGCGGGAAGAGCTGTCAGGCCTATAGCTTTGCAAATACAGAAAAATGATCAAGACATAAAAGGTGTAGAATGGACAGAACTACAAAACTGCCATCTCGGATTTTTCAAATTTTTGGATTTTGACCCCCAAAAATCAAAAAATATATTTTTTGGATATAAAAGTCGGAAAATCCAAAAAGTTTTTTGAATTTCGCAAAAAAAGGAATATATGTGATACTCCTTACCGCCTTCCATCCAAATACCAAATTTGAGATTGATACCTCTTTTTTTGGCGAAGTTATAGCGAAAAAAACTATTCAAAATTGATGACGTCAAATTTTCAAACTCAATTTTTAGCAACTATAGACCCTGTAGCGCAAAACAAAGACCACCATTAGACTCCCCGTGACGAGCTGCATCGAAGCAATACCCATTTTATGCAAAACTATTAACTTTAAAATTTGACCTTTTTTGACCTGACCTTGACCTGACCTTGACCTGACCTTCACCAGAAAGTGACCTAAGCCGTACCTGATAGTCTTATAACCAACACCATTGAGTTGGAAATAAAAAATTGGCCATAAAACATGCATCAAACAACCTTAGTAAAGTTGGGTTCATGTGACCTGAACTGTAACCCTTGGTGACCTGACCTTTGACCTGACCTGGTATTGTCAGTGACCTCTAATAGCAGCATATCTACTAGGCAACTGACGCCCTATCGCTGATTCTCGACAAAATACGTTTTCCACGGTGTTGTAGCGCATTCCCTAGAAGACCCGTGAACGGTGAAACATTTCATCTTTGACCTGACCTGTGACGTCATCGGTGACCCCGAGGTCAATGAAATTTGCTTTCCTTCGACAAATTTGACAGGCCTTTCGAACGCCGTTTGAATTTTGCGGATCCGTCAAGTAGTTTCGGAGATACGAGGGGGGGGGGCAAAAAATAGCCCCACCCCACCAGGTCGCGTTATAAACAGACCCCACCAGGGCGCGGGTTAAAGGGACCCTCCCACCTTCAAAAAAGTTAATGAATTGGCATGAAAGTGATGTCATTCGGTTCAGAAAGAGCAAAAACGAATATCTACCAAATTTCATCGAAAAATATTCACCGGTTTTCAAGATATTCGACTTTTACTTTTGTTTACTTTTTGGGATCTCCGCTGTTCCTAGCGACTTTATTTGAAAGTGCGGCATTTGTTGCGCGCAAAGCAGCATATACCACCGCGTGCTACCAAACGTTTTAGTAAAAGATTTAAAATCGTTAGATCCCCGCTGACGTCACAAATTCTAAGGGGGCATACCAATGCATTAGCCCCTTAGAATCCGAAAACTGCAAGTTTGAAATTCGATATCTCCGAATTAAAGCATTTTTCGATGTTGTGAGTGCCCAAACCGGTATTTTCAGACCATGGCCACCAATTTGGCTATCTCAACTCAAATCTAATGTTAACCCGCGCCCCACTGGGGATGGGGGGCTATTTATAGCCCCCCTCCCGTTTTTCTGCAATAACTTCCAAACCGCTTGACGTATCGACGCCAAACTTTCAATACCTTTGGCTGCATCAATTTGACACCTTGTGTCAAAATTTGAACTTCGTACCTACCATAGGTTGGCCGGAAATGACGTCAGAGTGACGTCATGTTCGGCCGATTTCGACGCAAAACATTGAACCACGGCAATCGCCCCCAAGAGCTCAGTTTTTAAGCTAGATCCAATTTCTTTGCATGAGAGGACTCAGAATAGACTGCGCTATCAAACTGCTATCTCGGATTCTCGAAATTTTGAAAATTTCGAAAATTTTATATAATAAAATTCAAAATTTATATTTTTACATTTTTTTCAAAAACCTTTTGACTTTTCGAAAAAAACGGAATATATGTGATAGAACGCATTATTATGACTAACTCTAGCAAGTTTTAGCTAAATATCTTCAAAAATGGCCAAGTTATACGCATTATTGCAAAAAATTAACAATTATTAATTTTTCAAATCAATTTTTCAGCACGAATTTGACATCGTACGCCAATATAAATAGCACCATCGTGTTCCTGAGCTCAAACTGCATCCAATAGACACCTTTTTGTTGAAAAATTTTAACTTCAAAATTTGACCTTTTTTGACCTGAAAGTGACCTGACCTAAGCGAAATTTGACTCAAAATGACCTCGAATGACACAGACGACATCAAATTCGAAATGTTTGGCCTAAATGGACCATAAAACATGTGTCACGTAACCGACGCATGATATAATATTTTCGTGACCTGTGATGACCTGACCTTGACCTGAAAATCAAAGTACAAGTTTGGTACCCTCAGAGTATCTAGAGCATCTGTTCACGAGTGTGTGGACCAAAAATGAGCTTGCTCTGACTTGTAAGACGGCGGCCAGAGCCCAAAACGTGAAGAAGCCAAAATGCTAATAATTTTTACTTTGACCTGACCTGTGACGTCATCAGTGACCTCGACGTCAATGAAATTAGGTTTCGCTCGACAGTTTTTCCGGGGCTATCAGACGCCGTTTGAATTTTGACGATCGGCCCAGTAGTTTCGGAGTTAGCAGGGGGGGGGGGGCTATGAATAGCCCCCCCCCCCCCAGTAGGGCGTGTTATACGCAGACCCCAGTGGGGCGCGGGTTAAGGTGGGAGGGTCCCTTTAAGTGACTACCAATTATCGCATGTTTGTTACGAGTCGTCATTCGGAATACTTCGGCTGTGAGGGCGCCAAGAGCGTTTTCAAGGTACGTTTCCCTTGTACCACATGCGCCTTTGAAGCAGCATTTCTTGCTCATTATGCTACCGTTTGTCTGGCCAATTCGGTCAAGTAATCTTCAGCATGTCTTTGCATAAGTGTGCTGGCTATTTGAAATTCATACAGCACGTTGAAAAGTTATGGGCCTGCAAATGAAAGTATGGCTGGCTGGGGTAATGCCGAAAACGTGCAATTACGCACGTTAAAGCACGCTACGTGGACTTTACTGCTGTAGAATAGCAACGCATATTTTAGTCACACAAAATACACTTTCAACCGACACAACGGCCTGTTTCCTATAAGGAATGATTTACCTGGCCTTTTTAATATATTACACAATTATAACTTCCAGTGTGCACCAAGCGTCCTCAAACTATTAAAAAAAGTGTCAGCTTTGATGATTCTGGATAAAGTTTGAGAAAAAATGGCAAAACATCAATTTCGGCATTCCCCGTAGATCATTTCTCCCATTTTCGGCTTTTCCGCAGTCCGGGGCAACGCCGAAAAAGTCACTTCTTCGATATTTTTAGTTTGTGCGCTTAAAGGGACTATCCCACCTTCTAAAATGTTTTTAAAACCAGTTAAATTGTGCCCGACTTTATAGATTGGATGACCAGGAACACGGTTCTGGCATTTATTTTTCATTAAACATCTTAGGCTTCCCATATTCCAAACACAAACTTTCAAATATGTGACGTCACAGCCCAAAATTACCTCCTTCCCCAGGCCACATTACTGTCATAAAGCTGATTCTTTTTACTCTGTAGGCACCACAACAAAGTTCAGACCAAGTTTAAAGCGATTTTTCAACGAACAAACCCATTTAAATCAGAATGACTAAACAAGGTGACGTCACACTAACGGTCGCTCCATGTTGAAGATAGGGCCTTGTACAAGGCCCATTTTCAAATGAAGGGAACGAATTTCTTCAACACCAAGAGGCCGCGGGGGTTGCAACCTAGATAGATAGTGGTTTCTGAACCTCGCCGCAAACTTGGCTATCTCAACTCAAACCCCATGTTAAAGGTGGGATAGTCCCTTTAACGATATGCGAATTCATCAAATGCGCCTGGTATGTTTGAAAAGCAACAGACTGCCTCTCGAATGACGCCAACAAGAATAGCTTATGTTGTCTATCTTGCGTGCTACGGGCGTCAGAACAAAGTATCCGGCGTTTCCCCAACTTCCCCTAGTTTCGGAGTTAGGAGGGGGGCTATGAATAGCCCCCCCTCCCAGTAGGGCGTGTTATACGCAGACCCCAGTGGGGCGCGGGTAAGTTTTATTATGCTTCACTTCAACCAAGCGTATAACTGAGTAACGCTGGTGCCGGGACCGTTCAGAATCACTTCCGCACCAATTCAGCCAAAATTATCAAGAAAGCTCTCTCTGGCAACACCAAATTGCGATATTTGCCCATTATGGTCTTGTGCAGCGTATCGCGTCTGCACCATTCGAAGTCGAGTCGTGTTGAAGACCTTCCAGGTCATTGTTCAAAGTTCATGACAGCCCGCGCTAATACAAAATCTATCTCCACTGACGGGTGAACTTGTAAGAAAATGCATGTTCGCTCAATTACTTTCCACCCTGTATTGACGTGACAAAAAGACGTCTTATTGACGTCTTGTTGCTCTCTTCCACATCAATGCCACGCAAGAGCAATTCATGGTGTTGAGAATCAGCCATGAGTTTATAAAAAGCTCGCTTATTATCGCTTATGCTGACTTACTGCTGAATGTTGAAGGCGCGATCTGAGCTAAAGATGTTTCTGCATCTCAGTCTTCTGTCATGTTCTTCACTACGATGATTTTCGTGGTCAATGACGGCTCTTTTTTCTTCACGAAGTCATGGCTGGTTTCTGTGAATAAGAAAACATTCAAACTCACGCCAGACCTATTACTTTCCTACATACATCCCTGCCGAGGAAGAGAGGAGATGGCGGGTACGACCCCCTCGCTGTTTCGCCCCTAATTTAGCTAGAGGCTGGCGGTCTGAAATTTTCACATGTGCGGAAACATGCATGGACAGATGTGCCAAAGACGGTGGCGCGGCTCGCCGCTCTTTTTAACCCGCGCCGGGCCAGTGCTCTGAGATTCTGCGCCGGGCCGGGGGGTGTCTGAACACCCCCCCCCCCTTCTAACTCGGCTCCTGGGCCACATAGCGACACGCGGTAAGCGGCAATCGAAAGAACGTCCAAAATAAGGACGAAAACACTTCGGTCATTTTTTTGGGTCAGGTCAAAGGTCAGGTCACCAGAGGTCACCAAAGGTCAAATGTTCACTATTTCAACATTTTGGAAACTGCCAACGGCTATCTCGGGAACCGATAGAGCTACAGCGCCGCCGAAAAGCGCATTCGATAGCCCTTTTACAGAAATTTCTGAATAATGTTCTCAGATTTGACCTCAGGTCAACGGTTTAGCTTCCAGATGGCAAAAACTCCAAAAATAGCCGTTTTTACGAAATACGTTTTTTCGGCAATAACTTTTGACTCGAAAGAGCCATGACATCACTTTTGCCACCATCGTGTTCCTCTCGTCGAGACGCGTCGAATGAACTATAATGTGACCTTGAACGTTCAATTTGAAAATTTGACCTCAGGTCAAGGTCATGACCTGACCGGAAAAGGTCATGTTGCATATCAGTCGATCCGCAACGTCGAACCGAACACATCTAAGGCGTTTTCAGCGGTCTAGCACGTCTCTATCAGACGTTATTAGCGAAAAACTGTTAGATTCTGTTCGTGACCTGAGATGACCTCGGGGACATAACGAGGGGTCACAGTTGCCATTTTCCGGTTCAGTGTGTCCATTTTACCTACATCTCGATGTTTGAGAGTGTCTAGAATAACGTTCGTGCAAAACAGACGCTTTTCAATTTTCTCCCATTGACTTATAACATTATAAGTCAGCAGCACAGCAGCAGCACTGCTGTGTGGAGCGGGGAGCAGTCAGTGATAACATTTTGAGTTATGGGCGTATAAACACAAAATGTTCCTTCATATAGCTAATTTGAACATGTTTGACCTGTAATTTTGCTCAGATGCGCTGGGCGGCGCTGTCACTTACTGGTCAAACGTAGCGTGACGGTTCTTGGCGTGCCGTCAGCGTTTTGTATCTCTTCCTCGTGTTCCAGCAGGCTTCTTAGAACCCGTAGGCTGGTCTCCTCCTTTGCAAACAGCTTCAGTTCCCACAGCTGACGACATTCAACCACCAGTCTGCGAAAAAACAGGGGGTGAGAATAAATGCCAACTTTCGAAATCTTAGCTGCGTTGCGGCATTGGTGGCGGTGATGTGCGACGTGTATGCCGCATTCTCAGTAAAGGGCGACCACTAAATTAAAGACTTTAACCCTATTCCTGGCGGGGGGGGGGCCTCAGGAGCCCCCCTGAGGTTTTTTGGTTATTTCTCCCAAACGCGTTGAGCTAGGAAGCTCAAATTTTCTGACTTTTCCTAAAAGGCTTCTACGCAACATGTTTGAAAATTTTGAGTTGATCTGACCTCAGGTCAGGTCACCAGAGGCGGTTTGGTGACCCTACCTCAGAAAAGTTTGCAATCACGCCAGAGCTAGAGTTTTTGACCGATCAATTTCTTCTCTTCAGGCTTTAGTTAGGGTACCAGTATGTGCAATTTGTATATCTCGGAATTTTGATATCGGTGACCTAAGGTCAGGTCAGTTTCGCGACCTCCCCTTTTTAAGTCAATGGGAGAAAAATCAACTCCCTGTTTTTACCACTAAAACGGGTCGGAATGGCCCCATATACCATACATGACTTCATATACGATCAACCTTCACTACCTTGAGGTCTGTTTTGCTGTTGGGCAGCTGTGAGGTCATGTGACGTCATCAAAGATCACCAAAGGTTTTTGGCCAATAACTCCGTACAGGAACAAGATACAGACGCGTGGATGGTCTCATTGTGTTCAGCTCGTCAAGACGCATCGAATGATATACATGATGACCTCGAGGTCACGTGACCTGAGGTCAACCTTTGACCTTGACCTTTCGAGGTCAACATATATATATCATTCGATGCGGATTGACGAGAGGATCACGATGATGCCCTTAGTTTGTTCCTATCTTGACTAGTTCGAAAGTTATTCGAGAAAAACTCTCCATATCTAGCGCCGCCATTTTGACTTTTTCGACCCCTGTGACGTCATCTTTGACCTGACCTGAAAATGACCTTCGTAAAAATTGTAGATCTTGACCGTGCGTATCCGATGCCGTTTACCGTTTGTCGCTGCGATGTGTAGTTTTTGAGATCTGAAGGGGGGGGGGGCCGAATCGGCCCCCCGCCAGTTTCTTGTCCCGGCGGAGCCCGCCAGGAATAGGGTTAAACCGCAATATCTAACCTGTGTTCAATGAATAACACTGCATACCTAAAATGCGAATCGCTCTGGTCATAAGATATTAAGATTTAAATAAATAAGCTATGTACATCATTTTGAACCAAATTTCTACTTTCAACTTGACTTATTAGCCGTTTTCACGACGGGCTATCCGGCTAGTGCACCTAATTTGACCAGATCTGCACCTAATCTCTTTTACAGTAAATATCTTTATGACTATGTTATGAATTTATTTCAGTGTTTTAACCCGCGAGTTGCTGGGGTAGGGCGTTAACCCTATTCCTGGCGGGCTCCGCCGGGACAAGAAACTGGCGGGGGGGGGGGCCGATTCGGCCCCCCCCTGAGATCTCGAGAACGAAGAAAGATAGCGACAAGCGGTAAACGGCATCGGATACGCACGGCCAAGATCTACAATTTTTACTAAGGTCATTTTCAGGTCAGGTCAAAGATGACGTCACAGGGGTCGAAAAAGTCAAAATGGCGGCGCTAGATATGGAGAGAGTTTTTCTCGAATAACTTTCGAATCAGTCAAGATAGGAACAAACTAAGGGCATCATCGTGATCCTCTTGTCAATCCGCATCGAATGATATATATGTTGACCTCGAAAGGTCAAGGTCAAAGGTTGACCTCAGGTCACGTGACCTCGAGGTCATCATGTATATCATTCGATGCGTCTTGACGAGCTGAACACAATGAGACCATCCACGCGTCTGTATCTTGTTCCTGTACGGAGTTATTGGCCAAAAACCTTTGGTGACCTTTGATGACGTCACATGACCTCACAGCTGCCCAACAGCAAAACAGACCTAAAGGTATTGAAGGTTGATCGTATATGAAGTCATGTATGGTATATGGGGCCATTCCGACCCGTTTTAGTGGTAAAAACAGGGAGTTGATTTTTCCCACATTGACTTATAATGGGGAGGTCGCGAAATTGACCTGACCTTAGGTCACCGATATCAAAATTCCGAGATATACAAATTGCACATACTGGTACCCTAACTTAACCCTGAAGAGAAGAAATTGATCGGTCAAAAACTCTAGCCCTGGCGTGATTGTAAACTTTTCTGAGGTAGGGTCACCAAACCGCCTCTGGTGACCTGACCTGAGGTCAGATCAACTCAAAATTTTCAGACATGTTGCGTAGAAGCCTTTTAGGAAAAGTCAGAAAATTTGAGCTTCCTAGCTCAACGCGTTTGGGAGAAATAACCAAAAAACCTCAGGGGGGGGCTCCTGAGGCCCCCCCCCGCCAGGAATAGGGTTAACCCGCGCCCCGCTTGGCTATTCAGCCATACGCGCCCTGCTGGGGGGCAGATTCTGCCCCCCTGTCTAACTTCCGAACCGATGGTCGTAGAAAGACGGGGAAAACGACAATCGAAAGCTCTCAACAAGGCGAATCTTTGGAGCCCAATTCTTTTTGCTTAAGTAGGTCAGAGGGCAGGTCAAGGTCAGGTCAAGGGTACAAAATGCAAGTTTCTACAGCATCGGCCTTGCACCGTAGTTGGCGAAGAATGGACTGAGACTGATTGCCCAAAACGTGTTCTTAGACTACCAAGACAATATTCTTTGCACACAATGTCATTCAAAGGTCAAGGTCAAGGTCAGGTCAGGTCAGGTCACCAAAAACAAAATATAGAAAAGGACATGTGCGACACATGTTTTATGGGTCATTTTACTCATGAATTGAATAGGCACACTCAATAAGTGATATGGACCACCTCTAGATGAATTTCAGGTCGAGGTCAGGTCAAGGTCAGGTCAAGTGAGGTCAAATTTCGAAGTTGGTTGTTAAGGCCTAAAAAGGTGTCTATCCGATGCAGTTTTTCACGACGAATCGAAAGGTGCTATTTTTGTTTCCGTATGAGGTCTAGAACTTCCAAAAAAAAAATCATTTTTCAAAATTTTTGTGTGTCGTGACGTCATAAAACTTTGAATAACCCCCACATTTTTGAACTGATTCTTCTAAAAATTGGTATGTAGGTGCACATAGACCACTTCTTTGACATATATTCCGTTTTTTTTTTCGATACTCTCAAAAGTTTTGGATTTTATAAATAATTTCCCAAAAAAGTCAGTTTTTTAGAAAATTTTGGCCAAAATCCAAAATTTTCAAAGAACTGAGATCGCCATTTGATAGACAAAGTAGAATCACGTATAACCTTTTTTGTTACGTCTTGATTTCTTTAAAAATGAAGATGTTAGCGGCGTTTGAAATTTTGCCGTTTTTGAGGCGAAAATGGCGAACATAACGTCACTAAAACGTCAATTTCTCAAAAATTTTCTGACGGATTCCGCTCAAATTTTCAGGGAACGTGTCAAATTGATGTATGATAAGGTACTGAAAGTTTGACGTTGTTGGCGTTCCGCGTTTAGAAGTTCTTGGCGAAAAACGGGAAGAGGGGCAGATTCTGCCCCCCCCCCCCCAGCGGGGCGCGGGTTAAACGCCCCCACTTTTTCGCCGGGTCATAGCATAAAAACCGCGCGCCGCAGGCGCGCCAAATTTTGGGTACCTGTAGGGCATTATTGAAGGTTGTTGTGACCATAGGCGTCGCCAGAGATTTTCGGTTGGGGGGGGGGGCAAAATCAACTTTTGTGTTAAAACTTGCCTTTCCCCAGTCTTTACTCACTCGTTTTATATATCATTCGACGCGCAATGGTGCGAGGAATCCGATGGTGACAAAGCTTTTCTTCTAGCTATGACATGTAATTTTTTACAGAAAAAATCGAAATTTTTAAATTTCATGACAAAAACGACTGGTAGAATTATAGTATATAGTGGCTGCGATTGCCGACGCACTGCAGAGGGCCCCTGTGTAGACGTTCGACGCTCATGATCATTACCCAGAAAAGGGTGAAAAACGCTCCATTTAATCGGATCACCCTGCTAAAAACTCTATTCACGCATGCATGCAGAGGTTTTACGTGAAATGCATAGGACTTATCCCAGCCACCGATCGTAGCTAAGATGGGCATTCGGCGGAGAGTGAATGTCGGAAGTGTGAATCGGAAGTAATTCATCTTTGCTCAAGTGAGAGGAAGTGTTTTGTTCACTCAGTCGAGTGTGAACAAAAGTTTCTCGTTTTTTCGTGTGAAGGGAAGCGCTGCAAACGCGAACAAAAACTGTTAGGTAATGCATGTTAATGCATTCGTCGGTTGTCGACGGCTGGTGCTCTCGGGGCTCTGTTCAGTGCCGAAATATTGCGGTATTTAGCGTAGTTTGGTGTTGAAATTATATTTGCTGGAAAGAGGATTCATCAATTACCTACAGGCCAGAACTTTTGAACTGTAGCAGATGAAAAGTTTTTGAAGATCTTAAAATTTAAGATTTTGGCAATTTTCACTTTTAGCTGGCTTCAGTTTTCCTAGGAAGATGATTTGATTTTTTCGCGCGGCATTCGTGACGCCCAACGCAGTGATCCTCCAGTCTCCACTTTCTAGACTCATCTTTTGAAGCGACTGAAACTAAGCAAATACAATGATCGATCCTCAAGCTTACCGTCTAAGAATTGGAATGTTCTGTATCCGAATGAGAAGAAAATTGAAATCAGATAAATCAGATGAATTATTTCAGCATGATTCGCTCGCTTTGGGGATCGCCCTGATCCTCACACTACTTGTGATCGGAGGCGTGGAGCAGAATCCCGGTCCCGACTACACTGATGATCCTCTTCCTGGCCCTTCATTCTCCGACGTGACCTTGATGGATGTCATGGAAGCCATTCGTATCAGTCAGCTGTAGATTGATCAGCTCTCAAGGCAAGTCGACGCTTTGATGGCGGCAGTAAGAAAGACATCTAATGATGATAGGCATGCGCTACCAATACCACCACCGATGGATGTCACTATGGGCAGCTCCTCGGCCTC